CCGGAGCGCCAGCAACTTATCATCCTGCAACCTACACTCACCCCGGACTGAATCTATCTCCAGGCCCAAGAAAGACCCAACCGTCTTGTCACTCGCCAGCGGAATCCCGAACACACTCGCCACTCATTCCAGCGTCCTCAATCCTATCCAACACTCGTCCGACTCCGCCGGACTAACGCAAAGGAAATCATCAAGGTAATGGACCACAGATTGTGCCCGTCTCCACCTTGACCACCCATTCCAGAAAAGTGCTGAACTTTTCGAAATACGTGCAGGAGATGGAACAACCCATGGGAAGACAGAGGTCGACAAAATATTGCCCCTCGAAAAAACTGCCAAAGAGATGATAACATTTTGGGTGGATGGGCAACAGCCGAAAGGCCGCCTCCACGTCAGCCTTAGCCAGCAAAGCCCCTTTTCCTGTGCGCCGAACCAACTCTACCGCTTGTTCGAATGATGCATATGACACCGGGCAGAGTGACTTGTCAATATCATCATGATAGATGATGAATGAGCTGGTACTTACCGGGTTCCTTCTTGGGCACCACCCCAATGGTAAAACCCTAAGATCGCACAACGGGGGCTCCCAAAATGGTGCCGCCATCCTCCCTAACTGCACTTCCTTAAGTAGCTTGTCCCGTACCACATCTGGAAAGTCCCTCACCGACTTCAAATTGCAGAGGTGATGTATGACCACCCGATCCCGGAATGGAACAACGTACCCCTCCACCCTGCAGCAATGCCGCATCCACTCGATTACCGTAGCTGCTTAGCCACGGTAACATCGCGCCTACCTTCACCGGCGGCAACCCCGGCAGTAGAGGATGACCCGGTTGCTTCCGGTGCCACCCCGGTGCCACCCCTGCGGCAGCTGCCTTACTTCGTTTGAAACAATGACAATCCATGTGCGTCCTCGCACCCAGAACATTCATGCTTGTAACGGCATGCAGCCCCCCATTTGCACTGGCTATCGTCGAACAGCCAGCAGAATCCCTTGTGAACAGCCGACGAGGGGGAAGCCATACCCGCGCCGGCCCCAGACTGAAAGGGTGACGCCTTCTGCACCATAATGAGCTTCATCCACAGTGGCAGGTCCATTTGGTCCCACTGCATCCCCGGGTTAACAGACAAGCGCTGCCTGAATTGCTCGTCGTACCACCACCACGCCAAGCCCCTGTATGTGCAAAACGCTTCCTAAACCTGTCAAAGTAACAAAAAAGCTGCGAGCATCGATAGGGGGCTTTTTCCCCCATGACACTGGCCAGGATACAAAACAGTCGTGAGCTCCCGACCTCCCAGGCTTTCCGCCTGCCTCCACTGCCATCGGCCGGACTGGCAGCGATGGGATCACCCTCCTATGCCCAGTGGATCCTTCTCTTGGGCTCAGATGTTGCGGCGGTTGGGTCCTTTGAGCCGGTCGTCCCGGCCTCGTCTCGGTCGTCGCGGTGGACCCCACATCATCAGGCCCAGATGGGACCAGGGCCTCTCCTAATCATTCCTGGAGCAAGGCGACCCCCTCTGCTGGACTGCAGCACACACCAACCAGCCAATCTTCCATTCTTCAAGACAGCTGCACCTGAAAGACAGAAACACGAGACAACACACAGTCCTGCCACAAAACAGGTAAGTGAGGATTGATTAAGATGGCCCTTGATCTAAAATGGCCGCTACATATACTCCCATAATCTAAAAACCACACCCCCAGTTGCTAAAGCCAAACCCCCCACATTAAAACCTCCTATGCCTGTGTCCTAGCCATGTCAAGGCCCATTCCACTTAGCTACACTGCTCCATGGTCTATACTCTGTATTGTGGCCCACCCTGTGTTTGCATATTATGACTGTTGCAGGCAAAATGCTTTTAACGTGCTTGTTTTTCTCTGCCTCCTCACTTTTCTAGAAGGCAATTTTATGGTTTCTCATGAATTGCTATGTGTGGGGAATAGGTCAACCTGTTCTCCAAGATGGCTTACATGTCAGGCCAGACAGCAGAAATGATCTGTTCCTCCCATCAAAAGCTGTGTCCTATTCTTCCTGTCAGCAGGTGGGGCATATTTGGAGTAATTGTCCATCATTAAAGAAACACACCAATTGGTCATGGGCTACATCAAAGTAAGCAAATTAGTTCCAGAACGAGATTCAGTAATATATAATGCAAGTAATGTAAGTTTGTTTACTGTCTCTGACCCATTGCCATCTACCAGAAAGATGGTTTGGTATAATTCCTTTACAGGTGCTCACAAAGAATAATTGGGACTGCCACCAACAACTTGATCCTGATTCATCACAAAATTGGTTCAACCCCAGCACTGAGCAGGGCATAAAGTAGATGTCTGAAGAAAAGGACTGTGCACAAACTGTCTACAGCACAAAGTCCTGGGGCACTGGCAGTATGGAAATAGATGTTGGCATTAAGGATGGCTGGTCTTTGAAGATTCTCATGCGGAATAACCTGGGGGACACCGTACTTTGGCCTTTGCAGAAGGGCCAGACATCACCACCAACCAGGAATATATGGCAATTACCACTGCCTAAATGTGTAAACTTGGTGGCTTGAAGGCTAGTCTTTACATTGTATAAAGTATTTTGGGTGTTTTTGCCACCCCCTACCCTTCCTGAAACAGCTGTAGTTTAATTTCTGTTATTTAAGGGACTTGTTAGGAGAGAGTTTTATGAACTGTGCATGGGAGCCAAAAAGTGTCTACGTAATAACGGTGTTGGGAAATATTTCGGCAGAGGGTATGATACCTGCGATGAATAAACAGGGTAAAATGAGTAAATAGGGACAATACCTCCCTAGAGAAAAGACTGGGAAGAGAAGACAATATCTGCATGCAAAAAAGACTGCACAGAGAGGACAATACCTCCCTAAAGGGAAAACTGGGAAGAGAAGACAATATCTGCATGCAGAAAAGACTGCACAGAGAGGACAATACCTTCCTGGAGGAAAGACTGGGGTGAGGGGACAACATCTGCCAGTCCAGCAGCTAGAAGACAAGATCTTATCATGAAAAATATTTGCAGGAGTCTCATATGATCCCTGGTGACAAGGGAATGGAACATATGACAGCATGACCAGTCGCACCTGCTCACATAACAGTATTATTTTTCCCAGTTTGCCACAACAAATTGGGAATTTGCTGTGAGGCATAACATAAGGAACAGTGGAACTTCCAGAACCTGTTGATTGCTACAAAGTATAACAAGGTTATTTTCCTAATGCATTTTATCTCTGTAAAAGCTGATGAGACAGGTTGTTGTGTTCCTGATAGACAAAGCGACTTCATAACATCTTATTAAGTATGTTGTCAGTCTGCTCTGTTCCTTGCTGATTTCTCTTTGGCATCCTTGAGTTTAATGAAACCTCCTGTTTTCAACCTCCTCCTGTGTTTGTTAAAGCTTCCCCTGCCTCATCATCGGAAATGTACACACAGGAAAGAAATCTCATCAGATCCTATTGACTATCTGTCACTCAGAAGTCTGGCAAGCCACAAGTGTCAAAACAGTGCAGGCTGACACCCATCTCTGCTCCTAATTTCAGGTGACAGAGACTGGGAAACAATTTCACACACTGAAGAATGTATCTGTGTGTCTCTGCATTTGTGTGATATTCTTGGTTCACCAAAAGCAAGCTGATGTTCAAACAGAAGATCAGAAGCTGGATGTGCCCTAACCCGAATTAGCTTTCAAATGTTAATCAACTAAACTCAAAGTCAGTCAAAGTGTGAAATGTTTTTTTATCCATATGGATTCATGTACGAAAAACTACTTATACAATAATTCACTTTCAGAGTTAGATTAAAGAATGTAAAGCAAACACATCATACGTTAACTTGTTTCTAGGTACCTATCAAAACTAAACATTACAAGATCTGTACAAATCCTTCCTATAGTAAAGTGAAGATTATGTTACCTGGCACTTTTTTACGAGTTCTGACAAAAGTAACAAGCTCATAAAAGTGAATTTATCACCTAAACAGTGTTTATGATAGGTATATAAAAACTATATTTATTTTGTACATACATATCTATATTGCATATTTTATTTTAATAAAGTATTTAAATATTTAATAAAGTGAAAATTTAAAGGAACACTATAGGGTCAGGAACACAAACATGAATTCCTGACCCTTTAGTGTTAAAAACACCTTTTAGACCCCCTAGCCCTCCTTGCCCATCTTAACTTTATTGCAGTCTCCTGATTTAATGTCTCCATGCAGTTGGGTGGAGACACTGAATTGCAGTATTGCACAGTGTGCAGCACTGCTCCAGGAAGCACCTCTAGTAGCCATCTGAGGAGTGGCCAGTGGATGTATCCCTAGGCTTTAATGTCAACACTGCCTTTTCTATAAAATAACTATCTTTACTGCAAAAAAACTGAAGGGAATGATGCTACTCACCGGAACAAATACAATAAGCTGTAGTTGTTCTGGTGACTATAGTGTCCCTTTAAAGTCAAACTTTCCAAACTGGAAAAATTCTTCCAGTCAGCTATGCTTCCAGTTTTGCTATTCAGTTCGAATTCCCAATTTTTTTTACTTTAGTTAAAAAACTCTGAAGTACTTGAAAAAGCTAACCTGCCCCTAATAATGATGTCACTACACAGCCTGGTAGCATAATTATTGATGGTTATTTTTGTGTCCTCGACCCCCCTTGATTAAGATAACACATTCTGTTACAATGTAAAGGTTAAGTGAGAAGGAAAGACCGCACAGGAGTGTAAAGTGATTCATTTAGGAGGACTGGCAAAAAACAAGTAGAACATTTTAAAAAAATTCATATATAAATGATGCACATTTTTTGTCATTGTTAGGGGTAGAGGTTTTTATTTTCAGGTGCCTTCTAACCTTAGAGGTCTACTTTATAGAAATAAAAACTTTAGTTCAGTACACAGGCACACTATGTACAACAGATTGCGGGTAGTGATGTCCCGAACGGTTCGCCGAACGGTTCGCCACGGACTCATCATTGAGTAAACTTTGATCCTGTACCTCACAGTCAGCAGATACATTCCAGCCAATCAGCAGCAGACCCTCCCTCCCAGACCCTCCCACCTCCTGGACAGCATCCATTTTACATTCATTGTGAAGCTGCATTCTTAGTGAGCTGTCCAGGAGGTGGGAGGGTCTGGGAGGGAGGGTCTGCTGCTGATTGGCTGGAATGTGTCTGCTGACTGTGAGGTACAGGGTCAAAGTTTACTCAATGATGAGTCCATGGCGAACCGTTCGTGGCGAACCGTTCGCGAACCGTTCGGCGAACCGTTCGGGACATCACTAATTGTGGGGTTAGTGTTGATAAGAGTTGCAATCCACTTTTGTCCATGTTTAGTATTATCTAATAATGTATGTATTTATATAGCACGTAAACAGGGAAAATATTAATACTTCAACTCATTTTTTTCCACATAATAGTTTTTCGAAAGAGCCATTCATGTGACTGGCATCTTGATATGATGGGTAAAGCCCCAAGAATCAGTAGGTTTTAATCACATCTACATTCTGTCAGAGAAGTAACAGGAACGTTTGCTGCCTGTCACTGGTCCTTTGGTATCCTGATAGCCCTACATATGCGCATAAGGTATCATTTTCTGTAGGAAGAAGAAAACTAGACACTGAGACCACAAACGGAATATGATGGGAACATTAGGAAATCTTACAACATTAGGAAACGTACTACAAAACGCAGTGACAGACAAACGGTTATCCTGGGCAAGACAAAAAAATCTATTGAAAAATTCAGGCTTATTTCATTAAACTGTGAATTGTCAGAAATTTGAAAATAATTAGAATGAGTTTCACATTTTAGACTGAAATAGCCAATTGGGAAAAAAAAACAAAAAAAAAACCCATCTCTTTCATTTTGGCTATTTTGTTGTAAAATCTGAAATTAACACTATAAGGAAATGTAAATATGACACCTGGCATTTTTTTGTTGCATTACTTAGTAAATCAACCCCACCCCAGCTCACACCCTTAAAATGAATGTGTCTCTCTTTGCCCATATAAAATGTTGGGAATTTTAAGCATCTATGTAGGGTACACAAGAATCTCAGGGGCTGCGACAAATGGGTGGTGAGCACACTTTTGGTCAGGCCTGGTATAGAATAAAAACAAATGTTACAATTTTACATTGGTACAAAATTATTATTAGCATTTATCGAGAACAAATTCCTCAGTGCTTTACATTAATAGAATGGGGATATTGCACGAGTAATAGAATACAGAGTATTACCAGGGGCAAGAAGTGAAAAAGACCCTGCTCAAACAAGCTTATGATTATATAACGGGATCCTTTTCATTGAAATCGGGAGGAGCATTTATTACTTTGAAGGGGTTATTATACACACACTTCTTGGTTTGCTAGTAATGTATCTGTTTCGCTCCCTGAGTTTCAATAGTTGCCTCCTGTCCTCGATATAAAATCATTTTGTGCCACAACAGTAGACAAACAAATTGATTTATAGGCTTAATAATCACATTTTGTTTTAAACCTAGCCTCCACTGACCTCACAGCTGTAACTAGCTGGCATGTCCCTTACAGGTAACATCATTTGGGGAAACAGCATTGCTACCGGTTGCTGTCACAGCCATTATAATACATTGTACAATGCAGCCTTTCGTTCACAGCTATGTAAAAATAGATAATAACTCTTTGCTGCTGCAGGGGCCGAAAATACAAGCGAAGCAAACGGTGACAGGGATAATAATGGATAAAAAGCCTTATTAGACTTTGCCTGCTTTAGCAGCACTGAATTATCCACTTGAGTGAAAGATGATCCTGTTAAATTGGTGCTGAGAGCCTCTCCATGCCTCATCTTTCAGTCCTTGTCTGTTTGATGTCGGACAGGCATCAGACTCTGCAGGCTTCTCATCCCACCTGAATGTGCTGCTATACTAGGACGGATGCAGCTTTTGATGTTGACACTGGTATTTCATTCAGAGCACAGTGAATCCTGGATTTCACAGATAACTGGGGAGACATTCTGCCTGTCATTGACAGGTTGCCTTGCGTTTAGGCCTATAAACAAAGCCATTATTGGGGAACCCCAAATGTCCTCTACAGGCTTCCCCCATTTTATGGTGCAAGGTAACAAGGTGTTCCAAACAGCTGCTGTTAGAACAAATTCTGTACACCTGTGATATCCAACTAATATCCTAGTGCTAATCACCATGTAATATAATCCCATTAGTGTGCCAACTGGCTGAGATCATCAGCAAAAAGCAGGATGGGTGTCAGTATCCCTTGCTCTCATGATGCTGACAGGTACAATTAAACAGGGCTAAGCAAATGCAGGCCTGATGACTATGTTTGTCTCACAGGCTCTCGAGGAGCTAACAAATAAGCAGTTGCTTAAGTTTGTAAATGTTCCCTGTATCTCTCACCCACAGATGATGCTGAGAGGGAAAATAGCTATACAAACACGACACAGACTTGCCATAATGTTACATCATGCAATTGTATCACATTCCTTAGATTTGGATTTTAAATTACACAAAACATGCTTGGTCCCCCTAAATGTTTTATATATGGATGATTAACATTTAGGGGGCAACTTTTCTGTTATGCCCACGTGAAAATCTGAGCATTTTTATGTAACATGACAATTTTAAATTCTTTATTTATTTTTTTTGATCTGGAATGCTTCCACACATTTTGACAATACAGATAAACATAAATCATATCACATTGTAGTACAGTAAACCATGGTGTGTATAAAACAGCAGCTAAAACGTGACCAATAGAACATATATACTGTCCCCATTCATACTACGCCCATGCTCCAGGCTTTTTCAGATATATTTCTCCTCCCGTGTGGCTACCACGCAATATGCTAACTCAAACCGTGGAAGGTGCGTAGCAACCTACCCCTGAAGCCCCATGCTGTGGGTATTGCTGCTGCAAGTGGACACGTATCAAGTGCATTCAGAGTCCCCTCAACACATTAAGCTATCCCTGTCTGAGGCCCTTTGGCAACCAGAGTTATACACCCTGGTATAACACCAACAAGTTTTTCTGATGTATCCCATGCACACTCACACCCCTTTCTCATCTCTTTACTTTCTTAGCCAGCATAGATATAATAACGATCAACTAAAGTTATAACTTAACAAAATGGAAAACATGTATAACCAAAGCAAACAGAGGGTATGGGATAGGTACAGTAACCCCTATTTGGCCTTTAGGCACCCCGTGATACACTAAGCTAAGTGGAGAGCTCTACGGGGGGGTCCACAACTCTGTCTTAGGCTCCTGTCTCCCGATTGAGGCCTGTATTTTCTGGGGCTACCCCTGTCTTCGAGAGTGTGAAAGGTGGCAGCCTCAATACTGATGCTATTGGTAAGGCTCCATTGACTCATTTTACCCCCAGTTCTCCCACTACCTTGTTGGGGAAGACATTACAATTTTAAATTACCGCAGATTAAGTAATCCTCTTTACATTTTGCCTTGAGTAAATATCTGCAATTGGCAAATCAAGCAAGTGGTTTGTTGCCTGTGTCTAAACATTGTGTCTTGTAAGTTCATGGGTATTGAAATAATAAACTATCACTGTACCACTCCCAGATGTTAGATTGCATCTCCAAACATTTCTCCCATATTCTATTACTTTCAGAGAATTTGGCAGCTGTCCTTACACATGTAGAGGCTGGGGAGCAGTTTTATATCCCTTATCTAAAATTTTATTTTTTTATTTTTGTTTAAATAAAGTCCCAAAGTTTAAATGTATTTGTTCAAACAACAATGCTAACAGATCTTTTGACAACACAACCAGTATCAATTAGGGGGCCCTACATCATTGTTATATTATTGTCCATTTTCTTCCAAAAAGAAAAGTGGTTTAATGGTACTCAAAATGAATGGTGGTATGGTGACATCATAAGACCCAAATATATTTTTTTCATTAGATGAGTGGTGTGGCGAAACCAGCCTCGCCACTGTCCACTGGAGAAGCCTGGTTGCTCGCCTGCTCCCTTTAGGCTATGGCCCGGCAGTTAAAACCTTTTATTTTCCCTGCATAGCGTATTCATGCCTTTCTATAGACTGTTAAAGCCATGCTACCCCAGATAGCCATGCCATGGAGCCCAGCCGTATGCTGAAAGACCGTATGAAAGACTTTGGCTCCATGGCAATTGAACTGTATTTATGTGATCTGAGCGCCATTCAGTAGTAATGTGCACTCAGATCTAAGCTATCTGGGGATATGTAAAATGTCTATGTTTTATGGAATAAATGTAACTATGTAATTTTATGTCTTTTATTGTATTGTTACTGCCATGTGGTTAATGGAGTCTTGCCTCTGTCCTGGGAGATAATTGGATTACTTCACACTTATCTCCTGGACAGAGAGGAGGGATTGTGATGTAATTGTGGGTGTGTTTTACGGTTCCCCTGTAACGATTGGTTGTACTGTGTCCCACCCTGTGGGATGTCCCCTTGCATGGGGACTTGCATAAAAGCCAGTGTGTGGCCATTACAGAGAGTTCCTGTTTTAACCCTCAAAGTGAAGTGTCGTCTCATTATTGGGGGAAGGATTCATTGTATGCTGTTCCAGTTTGACTGCTAGGAGAGTAAACCTATTCGTATGGTTCCTATTCAACTGTCTACAGCATTCATATGCTTGAGAGAAGGTATACGCTTCTCTGGTTCGGTGATTGTGGTGTCTGCTGCAGTGCTTGGAGTCCTCAGGAAGCGCTAGGAGCATCCTTCAATGGAGGTACCCAGTCGGGGTGCCAGGTGATCCGTTACAAGTGGTACTAAATCTAGACAGTTTACTGGTGTTTTAGAATATCAGTCATTAAACAGGGCAGGTCTAGTGTTTGATATAACAAGTAAGTTTAATTTATGACACATGCACCTCATGAACACTCTTGGTTTAGCCTCCTACCTAAATTGTGAACTGAATTGCCATAAAATTGTAAAAAAGCGAGTATTGTAAATGTATTGGCTATCAAATACTGTTATGTTACAGAGTTGTTTGATAATTGGTTTTGTTAAATGAAGTGAAATCAGTAGGTTAATGGGACCCATAAAAAAAAAAAAAAGTTAGTATCCAAAATGGAATCACAAATTTGTGTACTAGTCGATCATGCTTTGTTATGGGCAAACGCAAATATTACAAGTTTTAGAATGAAGTTTCTTAAACTGTGTACTTTGTCTTTAAGAGATATTGCA